ATATGGACCAAATGGCAATATACAGTAAGAATGGATTGATGAAAGCATCAAATACTCGGGTAGGGAAACAAGTATATATACACCCATACACACACACATAAATACATACATACAGACATTTACAAATACATACATACATACATACCTACATATATATGTACATACATATATATATATATATATATATATATATATATATATATATATATATATATATATATATATATATATATATATATATATATATACAAATAAATACGTCTAACTATATACATACACACATATATATATACATATATCACGCACACAAACACACACAAACACACACACACACACACACACACACATATATATATATATATATAATCGATGCATATTTATCCATATATATTATACATATACATACATGTATATATATATATATATATATATATAAATATATAATAATAATAATAATAATAATAATAATAATAATAACTATGAGAATAAGAATATATAAGTATAATAATATATAATAATATATATGACACACACAGACACGCAGACACAGACACAGACACAGACACAGACACAGACACACATATATATATATTCATACGTATCATACATGAATGCATTCATAAATACTTACAAAAAAACATACATACATACATACATACATACATATATATATATATATATACATACTTACATACATACATATATACATACACATACATACATACATACATACATACATAAACACACATGCACACACATGTACACACACACATATATATATATGTATATATATATATATATATATATATATATGAGTGTGTGGTCATATTCATAAATGAATGCTTCCAATAAATTTCCCGAAATGCTTCGTTTGTACCTGTATATGTATATATAAGCAGACAGGTGTATATGCATTAAACGGAATATGTACATACTCATATATCAATTTAAATAAAATTGATTCCAAGTAGCTGCATACAATGCACTTGCTACAGATTTCCATCTCAGCGCATACCTTTCGTCCAAGGTGGTCTCTACATTTGACACCGTCCCGGATTTTAAACTTTCTTTGCTCAAACCAATTGTCATCTTTGTACATAGAATTCTCTTAATCGCATGCGGTGATTTCATTTTCGTATCCGAGCTTATGCTATTTTCACGAACTGGATTAATATCACTAGCAGTGCTGCTGGGGTTAGGTGGCTCAGAACTTAGCGGTGACGTAATATCAACTTGTGGACATGTCTGCCGCAGAACGCGGGGGCTGAGTGGCGGGGGAGCTGTGCGACCCATAGTGTAATAGAAGAAATCGTTGAGTATGCGAGTATATGTCGATTGTTGATCCCATTCACACTTGCTGATAGAGTTGACAAGCCTCTTTAGCACTAGTGAATACACTGCAAAATGGGTGTATTTTATATATTTCTCTGGGTGCCATCACTGCCGTGGTATTTATCTATTTATTTTTTTATTTCATACTCTCTCGACTTTCGAGTCTCGGTCTCTCTGACAGAAAGTAATTGTTTTGTTTTTTCTATAAAACGAAGAAAAAAGTGTTTTCAAAAAGCTGCAAAGAAATCATCATTTGTGTTTTTATTTTATATAAAAAAAGCAAAAAAAAAAAAGCCGAAATATAGACCCAGGGCATATTTCATATTTGAGACCAATCCCCAGGCCCCCACTCCCCCCCGCCCAGAGAGAGAGAGGGAGAGAGTTGACCTGCCGGCTGCAAAATATTTGACTTTACATACACTGTAAATACTGTCTGTACAGTACATATTATAAAACCCAGTAGCCGTACTAGAGTAGGTGAGTATTGTCACTACGCGTAGAGCTTGAATTTTAGTCAATATGATATCCAGACAGCTGGGGTTATCCATTGCCGACGCCGATTCGCCTGGAGAATATGCCACAGCAAGATCAAACTTCTCTTATAGGAAAGGGGCTCACGATGTAGTTGCAGACGCCTCAAGAAGTAAAATTACCTTGCGAAACAATGCAAACGAAGGTAGTTCTTCTAAGGACATCAGTCGTACAAGTAAAAGTAGCTGCGGTTTGCTGGAAGAAGATAGTATATACGTGACGGTGGGGGATATGAAAGAAAATAAAGGTTACCTAACCACGTACATTGACTACAAGGTTGAAGTAAGGGAGGACAGGCCAGATGCGGATCCAGTAGTGTGCTGTCGGCGGCGGTATTCTGAATTCGAATGGCTTAAAGACCGCTTGCGGGGAGAGAAACCTTTGTTTATCATACCGGTGGGTTTTAACTCAATGCATAGTTTTCGTAATACACACACCCACACACAA